AATTTATCAACAACTTTTTTAAAAGAAATATTGTTATAATTTTTGTTCAACAAACCTGCACAAATTTACATGATATAAAAAGATAAAATCATTTTGAAGAAAAAAAAGAATCTACGTGCAACTAGACGGTAATGGAGTTGAAAAATTTAGTAGACAATAACTGTTTCAGTGTGATTTCTTTCTATCATATCTTGGACATTTCAGTTTATTGAAGATTGGAAACATACACTGCCTTTCGTGCGCAATAACGATCGAATTACACTTCAATATGTTTTCATTCTGTGTGTATTATATGCGTTTATTAACAACTGTCTTACTTAGTGTGTGTAATTACAACTAGTAATTCATAAAATCTTAAATGTTAATTCTTAGAATTACTTTCCGGAAGTGAACTTCGACAAACCCTCCAACAAGCTAACGTACGCCGTATGTTCGTAGGACGTGCTCAGCTCGATCAATTTGGCCGCAAAGTCGTTCGAAATACCTTTTTCTTCGAGATAATTCATCAGAAGGTCATACAGATACTGAAAAATAATCCTCGTCTCAAGTACTTGAAGACAACATACATGTATTACAAAAAAAATTGTCAACAATAGTGTTGCATTGTTATAAGACATCATGAAGACAAACTATTCGTGATGCTATACTGTAACAATGTAACCGTAATTTCCCAAAGATTAATAATCAAAATTGCTACTGTACAGCATTTTGTACTCAACACTTTGGGATGCTAGTAAACCGTTTGTACAAAATTACTTAAAACTCAATTGTGTAATTAACGTGCAAATTCTCAAGTTTTTTTTATGGTTTATTATCGAGTTACGTATTTTTGTATATTGAGTGGGAAGTAATATAATACTTACACCATCCAGAATCTCACCCGCTACAGAATACACTTTATCAGTGTTTTTTCCTTCGTATAAGGTAATTTCGTCAATGCCAAAGATGTCATCTACAAAAAAAAAAAAAAAAAAACATCAGTAGCCTTCGCCTGTCGATCAGTTAAATGGACAGGGGTGTAGGAGACAATAATGACTGCTTTTAGTTGACTCAACAATTGAGAGTCATCGTTTTGTTCTTTCCGTATATGATTGATCGTGTCAGGGACTTATTACCGGTATTATACTAGAGATTGTATACCGTTACCGTTATAGTACCGAAACCGATATATACCGAAAACCGTAATAAAATACCGGTATTATTTCGGTATTCCTACTAATG